TTCCTGAAGATTCAAGCAGGTTCACGTTGACTCGACTGTTTTTAATTATAAGTTGTTGTCGTGTCTGGCAGATTTATCAGCTGGTTTCATATTTAACACAATAAAACCTCTGAGGCTCTTGATTCTGACGGATCCTAAAATATCTGCTAACAATGAGGCTGTTTTGACTGAAGCCTCCGTCACATGTTGGTTTTTCCGACATGATAAAAATCCCAGATTAAGTTTAGAGAAATATTATTTATCTCTCATGTACATGTCTGTGCTCGTGTCTGTCCACGTGTGAGGAACCTTCGGGGAAACTTCTCCAATGACATTCTTCGCCCCTTCTCATTTTACCAGGTGCATGCTGGGAGCTGGCCAAGCTAAATTCCTGCCCGCTGCTCTGAGCCCGTTCACCTGCACAGGTTCGCTCGTCTCTCTGTGAGCTCCCCCCGACCCGCCGCAATAACCAGAGGTGATGGAAGGAGGCTAACGTGACGAGTCCTCCGGCCACGAGTCGACAACACGGGACACAAACTTTGTACTTTATCAAACGTCTCTTTGTTGAAAGCCTGAAACATCTGAAGGCTGCACTCAACCCCCGAGATGTCTCCCGTTTATTCACAGACACAATCTGCTGCTCGACGGGTTTTTACTCATGAACAAGATCAAATCATCTGCAAAGAAAAAAATTTGGTTTCACTGATTCAACTTTATTGAATCTACTTTTTCAGTGACAGAAACACAAAACTGCTCCGAGGTGAGAGCCTGAAGGATTCGGTGACAGCACATGTTATATGTGACATATATGTCCACTCGTGTCGGATCTCCACGTCCTTTGTGTCACAGATCTTTTCTCACGTGTCATCCTTCAGCCGGGGCGGAGTCACGTTTACTGACTTCTCCCAACAAACAGGAAACGAAGGAGTCGACTCCATCTGCTCTGCTTCACGTCCACAACAACCAAAATACTGAAAAACCACCAGAGCTGCAGCAGAACGCCGTCTGGACGCGAATGGAACGAGTCAGAGAAATCGTTTCTCCTCCCAGCCGAGGTGAAACCTCTGGAGAAGCTGATGTGAGAACACAGCGGGGGGTCGTCTGTGGGAATAACCGTGTTGATGGCGTCTCAGCAAGATCTGAACATCACTTCCTGCCTCCTCCTGTAGCTCCGCCCCTCATTCCTGCTTAGTTTCACAGCTTTGATTAAAGACGAGAATCGTGTCTCATGCGATGTTAGGCCGCAGGTCGCAGGTCGCAGGTCGCAGGTCGCAATCTGTCTACAAAATAAAAGCAGCTTCAAAAACCTCCAGTTTCAAAACCATGTTCTATATTTGAGTCTTTTTACTCATCTTCATCATCTTCATCTTCTTCATCATCTTCATCTTCATCATCTTGATCATCTTCATCTTCATCTTCTTCATCATCTTCATCTTCATCATCTTGATCATCTTCATCTTCATCTTCTTCATCATCTTCATCTTCTTCATCATCTTCATCTTCTTCATCTTCATCATCTTCTTCTTCATCTTCATCATCTTCATCTTCNTCTTCTTCATCATCTTCATCTTCTTCATCTTCATCATCTTCTTCTTCATCTTCATCATCTTCATCTTCTTCATCATCTTCATCTTCTTCATCTTCTTCATCATCTTCATCTTCATCATCATCTTCTTCATCTTCATCTTCTTCATCTTCATCATCTTCATCATCTTCATCTTCTTCATCATCTTCTTCTTCATCAGCTGTTCACTCGTTGTTTTTCTTCACTTGTTCTGTTTCTCATTTTCTCTCAAGTCGACCTGTCACTGAAGCCCCTCCCACCTCCCCCTGTGATGTCACAGCTGCAAGGTGTGTGTGTGTGTGTGTGTGTGTGTGTGTGTGTGTGTGTGTGTGTGAGCCTATTTAAAGGGCTGCCTCTCTCTCTCTCAGCATCGTCCTCTTACCGCCTGTTGCTGCTTCCAGGGACAAAGCGTCTGAGGCGTCTGTTGAAGAAACAGTCAGTAAGAGCTTTTTGTCTGACTCTTTAATTAACTGAACAATGATCAACAAGTCGTTACCTGTTGATTAACCTCTTGTAACGAGCTGCTGTCTGGTTTGCTGCCTGTTTAGTAAGTTAATCGATGCCTAACTAGTCTAAATTGACTTACTGACTGGTGACTAGTTTTTGTGAAAAGTTAAAGTTAAGACTGCTTCACTAACTGGCTGACTGGTTTACTGAGGTAACTACTTACCAGTGTACTACTTCTTAACCAGGTTACTGATCTGATTTAACAGTTAACTGGTTCACAAAGTGGTTTACAGTTCCAGTGGTTAGTTACTGGCTCAACTAACAGGTCAGTTAGTTAGTAGGTTAACCAACACTAACTAACACGTCACTGACTGACTGTTTCAGTGAATTTTAGGATGGTTGTTCTGCCAGCTTTAGAACCGTTGGTTAACCTACTAACTAATGTCTGTTTGTTAACTGGTTTACTGACTAGTTAAACCCTTAACCTGCTGTGGCTGACTGGTTTACTGAGTTAACTGTTTACTGAGTAGCCTGTTCAGTAATGCTTTCCTTGTTGTTTACTGCCTGGTTTAGTGACTGGTTTACTCATCCGTAGACTGGAGTTGACCTGGTGACTAGTGTGAGGGTTAAGTCATTCACTGACTAATTAACTGGTTTAATTAGTTAATAGAAACATGTTTACTGACTGTTTATATCATAAATAAATCTTATTTGTTGTTGACTGTGTTTCAGGCACAGAAATGTCTTTTCTGTCCGTCCTGCTGCCTCCGACAGGTAAACTGTTCCATTCTAGTTCTACCTGACCATTTACCGAATTCTTACTTTGTCCTTTCTGTCTCTCTCTCTCCTTCTCTCTCTCCTTCTCTCTCTCTTATTCTCTGCCCCCCCGATGACAGGTACATATGATCTCTCTCTCTTTGTCTGCAGGCCTCCTCCTCCTCCTCCTCCTCTCCTTCATGTCGTCAGTGGACAGCTCAGAGTCCAGCGGTCAGTTGTCGGTTCCTGACCGGTTCCTCCTCTCATGTTCAGATCATTAGTTCTGATCTTCTTCTTCTTCCTCTTTGATTGATGAAGAGTTGTAACTGACCCTCCCCCGTGTTTACTGAATTGGAACTGGTCTGTTCTCTGAAGCAGATGAGTCGGTTCTGGTGAACTCACGGCACATGGAAAAGATTTATCACTGTTCAAACCGTCTGTTGTGTAAATATGTTGTGTAACATATAGAACTTAAATATCAGTGCAGGCTGAAGGAAAACTTCTGTACACAAATACATCAAAGTTCTGAAGTACTTGATGTTTTCCTTTGATCAGTGCCCCACCCAGTCACCTGTGTGACCCGGGGAGCCGACCTGATGCAGGACAGGGTGGTGGTGCTATGTCCTCCTGACTGCACCCAGTGGAGGGGGGCGGTGTTCGGGACGGGAATCTACGCCTCCGTCTCCTCCGTCTGTGGAGCTGCTGTCCACAGGTAGGACCTTTGTTTGGCTCCAGATCTGAAGGGAAGTGTCTCACACATCTGTACACGACTGTACACATCTGTACACGACTGTACACGACTGTACACGTCTGTACACATCTGTACACATCTGTACACGACTGTACACGACTGTACACGTCTGTACACGTCTGTACACGTCTGTACACGACTGTACACGTCTCACTAATACTCAAACAGCATCTGTAATTACAGTCAGTGTTTCTCTTCAGTCACATGTTTTTTATTGTCATCGTTTCTAATCTGACGACTGTTCCTGCTAATTTTATGATTCAGGAAATGAAAAGTGTCTTCAAAGTTGAAACCGACTTTAATCTCACATTATTCACTTTGGGTTCGGGTTCAACGTGGCTTTGATGTTGACTTCTGTTATTTCAGCTTTCGTTGAAAACACGAAGCGATGAAAAGGTCGAAATGAAGATTTAATCTGACGATGATTTCCAGAAGGAAATGGAGAATGTGTGACCTGCATCACTGCCACCTGCTGGAGTGGAGTAGAAGAGCTTGTTGGTTCTTTTACCTAAATGTTTGCGGTGGGAACGCAGGCAACCAACGGCCTGAAGGAAACTTTTAGTTCCTGGAGAAGAGCTCTGGCCACTTTGGTCGTAGGTGATTCTGAATGTGGAGCGATGAGGATGTTTCCTCAGTTTGATCAACAGCTTGAAAACATGACATTAAGGTCGATGTGACGACAGGAAGTCACAAACTGGTTCTCAGACAGATTGGAGCTTGGGAGGTTTGGAGTTTGAGGTGTTTCTGATGTGTTGATGTGACATAATAATGAGCAGCATGAGTCCTTCTGTCTGCTGAACCTCGACTAAACACTGAAGGAATGTGCGGCAGCGAAGGATTAAAGTCTCAACCCAGAATGAACTCCTCCTTCCTCTGCAGAGGAAAAACACAAAGTCTGCTCCCTCAGGATCCTTCATTCATTCTTTCACTTCTCATCTTCCTTCCTGTCAGACACGTCTCTGAAGTCCGATCCTCGACGTTTCCTGCTTTCAAATCGTTTTCATGCAAAGCTCACGGTCACTTTTTCTTCTTTCTATTTATTGATCTTTTATTCATTTAAGGAAAAGAGAAGAAACATTTCCATAAAAGTCTGAGACATCTCCTTCCTTTGTGAGCGGAAGATTGTGAACCTCGTCTCTGAGCAGCGATTTGTTGTGGAACAGACAGAAATGAAAATTAATGACTTTGTGTTTTCCTGGAAAAGGAAATAACACAGAGGTCCAAAAGTCTGAGGTTTATATTTCATCAACATATTGAACTGTGTTAAGTCGTTCATCCTCCATCTGGTCAAAACGTCTCTTTAGTTTATTTTGTGCTCTTTTGTTGTGAAGTTGCTAAGAAACAAACTTTTTGGTTTTGTATTATTGATCAGTTCTCATAATTACGGACGATTGATTTTATTTGTTGCTGGTTGGTTTCTGGGTTCCTGTGGAAATAAAGAAGCTGGGGTAAAGTCCAGGGGTTTGCCCTGATGACTTCATCTGGAGGTTAATGTTGATCACAGAGATTCAGTCTCACGGTAAAGAACAGAACTGGACTAATCTAAGAAATTAGATCTGCTGGACAACATCCAGTCAAGTGTCTGTCTCCCTCCACAGGGGGGTGCTGGGTCCGTCCGGAGGCCCCGTCAGGGTCCACAAGCTGCAGGGACGCCACAACTACATGAAGTCCTACGCCCACGGGATCCAATCACAGCCCCTGACCCAGTGGAGCGCCTCCTTCAGCCTCACCAGTAGGTGGAGCCACACAGTTGATTGATTGATCAGCTGATTGTTACAGGCAGCGAATGAAAACCTTCCGTCGTCACAAAATAACGTGAACTGATCCGTTAATCGACAAAAACGTCTGGTTTCTTTTTCCACATTAGATTGAAGCTGCTTCAAAACAATCTGCTGGAAACATTTAACAAAAGTTTGTTCTGCGGAGTCAGTGACAGTGACTCCAATTCATCCAAATACAGTGAAACTACACCGGATACTGATATTAAATACAAAATAATAAATAACACACGTGTGTTGACGAGTATAGTTCACTGACAACAATTTAAGTTCAGTACAAATACTTTTTAAAATCTTG